TTATGGTCTTTGAAATACCTTTGGTAAATACATTAAACTATGACAACACGCTGTAAAATGTAATGAGGTGACCTCCATAAGACGAAGTATTGACTATGGGGTACCATAAGGCAGCATATTTGGACCACTGATGTTCATACTATACATAAACGACATCATGGATGTAACAAAGAAGTGCAGAATACATTTATGTTTGCTGATGATACACTTGTACACTACGCAAGTAGAAACAAATCAAACTTGCAAGAAACAATCAATTTCGAAATAAACAACATAAACGATTGGCTCTCCACCAATAGACTGAAATTAAATATAGAAAAAACTAAAGTGATGATAGTAGAACCAGATCGAAGTGAATTGGGCAATGAAATAGTAATACAAATAAACAACGACATTTTACGAATAGTAGATAGAACTAAATACTTAGGTATAATAGTAGACGCCAACCTAAAATCCAATGAACATGTGAAGTACATTTCTAAAAAATCGCCACAAAAGAGGTGTCTTAAAAAGGTGTAGCTATTATCTGTCACGATGGGCATTGCGTGCCGTATACAACTGTATAATCTTACTACATTTTTATTTCGCAGGGGTGATCCTCTATCTAAGCAGCAATACCAGCATGCAGAGTCTACAAAAATTACGAAATAGAGCTATGAGAATAATACTGAAATGCAGTAGCTATACAAATACAGAAACAATGCTCAACCAATTAAAATGGCTAAAAATAAAGGAGCATGCGAAATACTTAACATTAGCATTTATTCATAAAATCAAAATGAAACTAATGTCAAAGTATTTTGACTGTATGCCGATGCAGTTTGTAGAAAAGCACAACCATAATACACGTAACAAATCAAATTTTATATTACCACATGTCAGTAATAAAAAGACGCAGAATTCAATCTTTTTCAGGGGGATAAAAAAGTGTAATGAACTAGGAAATAGGCTTAAAGAATGTAGTTTAATGCAATTCAAAAAACAACTTAAAATTAATTACTTAAATAGAGAATAGATTAAATTCATTTATATAAGAAGCACAGCTCCTCTGAAACTACTAACCGATGAATATTGTCATATTATAAATGTATCTTAATAAGTTTTTCCAAATTTTGAATTTTCATACATCGGTTCAAAATTTAAATCACCCCAGAGGTGTTGCATCCCAACATTATTAACATTATTAAGATATACATCATTATCAGACACTAATTGGTACCCCCACCATAGAGTTGACCCAAATTTAGTATAAAAGGTATGCACATTTTACCTAAAATCCATTGTCTACCAGATCCCGCGGTAGCAAACACCACACTCGATAGCCGTCACAATCTGCGAATTGTTACCACCGCCGCCTTTGCGCCTTCCAAGACGAGAGCGATGTTCACCCGTCGACCGCCACCCGCCGAAACCGAGCCAACTACACCACCACCCGTATGTATAGTAACAAGGCGTCGATCGCGCGAACCAATGAGAGCACGCTGCCGCTGCTCGGTGGAGGGAGTAGGCTGAGCGAACCGGCCTCGCCGGTGGATATAAGCGGCCGGCCTGGTCACAGAAGGCACACATAGTCTACCAGCACTCGCGGTAGCAACACCACGCTCGACAGCCGTTACTTTCGTTTTCTAGCCAGTCCGTGCTTTTAGACGACACCAGCGACTCTACGAGACCACGCCCCTTAGCATCACACGAGCCCATACCATCCGAGCTTGCACGTACTAGTAAGTAGTGATTTCTACATTTTGCCCAGCCGTTCTTAGGTAAGTTTAACATTTTAATTAATTTTAACTAACCTAATAGTCTTGGGGACCGAGTACGCAACGTCCTCTTGTACTTCGTCGTTCCCTTAACCTATTACTAACACAAAACCGTCGTTTTTCCCGTACAACCGAAGCCACGCCCACCGAAAGCGTTTTTTCCCTTCAGACGCTTGCCATTTCGGAAATGGCGCTCCCCAAGAGTCCTGCACCCTTGGAGGGTCTCTCCCTAGTCGACGCCATTGCCCTTTTCGACGAACTTAAACAGAACATGGAAAAGTACATCCGTCAGCACGCTGACAACAAGGCCACGCCCATGTCAGAGGACAACAGGCCCAACACTGCCACATTTTCCTCGCCCTCCCAGGTTGCTGTACCATCAAATGCAGCTGCTGCTACCTCTGCCGACGGCTTTACTCAAGCCAGCAGCTGTCGAACAAAACGTCGAAGACGGACACCGTTTCTTTCTTCGTCTTCGTCGTCGTCCACGGACGCTGAGTCCGAGCCTGACACTGCCGGCCAAGGCACCACAGCTCCTCCCCCAATATCTATCCGCCAAAAGTCCATTTGGCCCAAAATTCTCCGTGGCATGGAAAGCCACGATATCTCAGCCCGACGGGCAGTCAACACCAGCGACTCCATCAGAGTTTATCCCAACTCTGTGGAGGACTTCCGCCGCCTTACCTCTCTCCTCGACGAATCAAACGTCGAGTTCTCAACTAACCAGCTCCGCCAGGACAGGGACCTTCACGTCGTCCTTCGCGGAGTCTGCGAGTCGATCTCCACGGACGATATACAGTCCGAACTTACCAACAAGGGCTTTGCTATCCGCGGCATACACCGCATGACCAACGGTGGCAAAGTATGGCCTCTAGTGTCCGTTCGGCTAGACAGGACGGACAAAAAGTCCAAGACAATCTTCGAGCTTGGCAAAATCTGCGGGCTCAATATCAAGGTTGAGCCCAAAAGAGTTTTTCCACACGGCCAGGCGAAGGACAGGAAAGACGCCACTCCTTCCTGCGCGAACTGCAAAGGCAGTCACCGCGCTACCTATCGCGGCTGCCCCAAGGTTCCGCGTAAAACCGACGCCCGAAAAAAGGCCACCACCATCCCAGCTGCTCCAAAGGTAACCCAAGCGACCGCCCGCTCACCTGTTACTCCCGTAAAGACATCTTCCCAAATGTCTTACGCAAGGGCCGTGAGAGCAGCCCCACCACCCCCCCACCCGTAAGCCCAACCCGACCCCAAGCACCGCTGCAACATCAGGTGCAACTCCGTCCCTTCAGGACAAAATTAATGCTATCGTTCAGACAATGGTAGCCAGTTTAGTCGCCGTCCTCCAACCACCCACCAATGTCTAACACATCGGACACAAATAACCTTCGATTAGTTACCTGGAATGCCCATGGCATTAGAGGTAAAGTGACTGAACTCGAGCACTTCCTCGAGGAAAAGTCGATCGGTGTGCATGTCTGTGGAATAAACACCGCCACCCTCACAGCGTACAGTAGTAAACGCCCTCCAACGAGAACTAAGAACTCGTCTCACCGAATTCCGCAGCGCATCCTCCAACGACTATATCGCTCAGGCAGAAACTCATCCCCGAAGCACCTGGAAAGTGCTCCGTTCCCTTCGTGACAGAGCTCCCCATCTTCCGCCACTAAAACAGAGCGGATCCACTTACTCTTCAGACGAAGAAAAAGCTGCAATCTTCGCAGACTCTTTGTGCCTCCAGTGCTCTCCACTACCTACTCCAGTGGACCTTGCCAACTTTCACGAGCGTACCAAAGTCATCTCCCGAAACTTCGTTCCCATAAATTCCGAATTCAGACACACTACACCCCGTGAGATATTCCTTACCATTCGTTCTCTGAAAAAGAGAAAAGACCCTGGCGCTGACGGAATTCCCAACGGAGTCCTCAAAGTCCTGCCACCAAAGCACATCACCGCACTGTGCAACTTCACATGCGGCTCCACCACTTCCCTTTGGTATGGAAAGAAGCCACTGTCATCTGTCTCCCCAAAAAAGGAAAGCCCCTCAGCTCTCCCTCAAGCTACAGGCCCATCAGCCTGCTCAGTTCGTTGAGCAAAGTAGTTGAATCCATCCTTCTCAATCGGCTCTCAGACCACGTGGAGCAAAACAACCTTCTCCCCAACACGGTTACCGCAGGCAGCACGGCACCGGACACCAACTTCTTCGTGTTACAGAACACAGTTCCGATAACCTCAACAAGCGGCGTCACACTTCAATGCTACTTCTTGACGTCCAACAAGCCTTCGACCGAGTCTGGCACGAAGGCCTTATGTCCAAACTCATCGCCCTTAACATCCCACACTTTCTAGTCGGGATAATCAGGTACTTTCTCACAGACAGAAGCCTTCGAGTCCGCGTTGGCTCTGCTCTCTCTGTCAGTAAACCCGTCACAGCCGGTGTCCCACAAGGCTCCAAACTTTCTCCTTTCTTTCTCCCTGTCACCTTCTACAATGAGCCGCTCACTTCTTGCTCCCTAGTGTCGCTTTTTAGCGCGAGTGTCCATCCAGTACATCAGAGATGGACCACCTACTTCGGTTTCCTCCCCAACACTTCCTTCAGCCCACACTCTTAACCCATTTCCCATCTCAACCCTATCCTTAATCCCCAGCTTTCCACTTTTCTCCCGGGGATGAAAAATCCACAGGGTTTAACTCCCCGCTCGAGGAAGTGTTTTAGTCGGTAAATCCGACACTACCTCCCTTCAGGGGGTGTCTTTTGAAGATTTCCACTCCTCGAGCATAATCTAAACAAAAAAAAAAAAAAGGCACAGTCTACTAGCAACCGCAGTAGCATACACCACGCTCCTTGAATCGTTCACTTGCCAGTCCGTGTATTGAATCGACTACACCAGCGACTCTTCGTTTCGTATACGCCCATCATCGTTCTCGAGTCGGTCCGTGTAATCACACGACTACACCAGCGACTCTTTTAGACCAGGCCCGTAGTCATCGTACGAACTCGAACCTCTCGAGCTCGCATTTGCTAGTTCTTCAAGTCAACAAGACATAGCCCAGCCGTTTCTTAGGTAAGTTTTATTTCATTCATTATAACTAACCAACAGTTCTTTTGGACGGAGTACGCAAAGTCCCTCTGAACTCTCCCCCCACCCCACGTATTCACTTTAACAACCAACTATCATTTCCTTACTTCTAAATAAATACACTACGTCCCATACGAGTAGGTTAGCTCCGTCAGCTAGCCATTGCGAAATGGCTACCCCTAAGAGCCCCGCACTCTTGGAAGGACTTTCCTTCGCGGAAATTATGTCCATGGCGAGCGAGCTGCAGTCTAAGCTCGCCAGTTCGCATCGAGCAGCCGAACCGATCGGTTGTGCGATGTCCGAGAGCCAGCACAGTGCCACGCCCATCGGGCCGAGTGAACACGAACGAGTTCGGTCGAATTCGTTCGTCAGTTGTGCAAGTGAAGCGAGTGTTATGGAGTGCAGCTCCGAGTCCGGAAAACGCAAGAAAACTACTCCATGGTGCGACGACGAGCCTGAGTGCCTTAGTGCCGCGGAAAACAAAAAAATGAGACGCAGAGACAGCGGAGAGACGTGTCGAACTTATGGTAAGTATCCTGAAGATACTATGTCCGCTAATGCGAGGCGTCTTTTTAAGATTATTCGGGAGTTGGTACCTTTGAAGGCGGAGACCATTAAAGTTGCTGACCGACGGACAATTCGGGATACGGCGGACCAGCTGATGGAGGAGCTCGTCCAAATGGCAGGAGTTGTGAAGGAACTTCGCCATACCATCGAAAGGAAAGACGCGGAAGTGAAAGAGGTCAAGGAAAACTCCGCCAAAACTGTAAGTACACCTTGTTTTTCTTACGCGGATAAGCTTAGATCAGGGAAAAACGTAGTTAACAACAATAGGGTCAGCGAAAATTCATTTCCGGTTAGAATAGAATCTAAAAAAGTAGGGAAAGATGCCGAATATGTTAGGAAGGTTGTTATGCGTTCGGTAGACCCGATAAAAAATAATATCGCGGTCAAAAATGTTAGGGCCACGAAATCTGGCGTGCTAGTGGTTGACTGTGCAAGGAAAGAAGACGCCGAAAAAATTAAAAAGTCGTTGCTTATCAAAGCAAAAGACGATGTCGCGGTCAGGGATATCAAAAAACGGTGGCCGAGAGTAAGGATAGACAGGGTAAACAAAGATTTAAACGCGGAGGATTTACATGAAACGATATTAGGGCATAATGATTTTATAGATAGTCTTTATGGTAACGACGTAAACAAGTTTAAAGCCGATTTTAGACAACTTGCTGTTTTTGAATCGCGTAACAGTAGGAATAGTTACAGCGCAATCTTCGAAATTAATCCCGTATTGAGACAGAAAATGTTAGATAGGCCAATTTATCTAAATTCGCAGCGCGTTTTTATTAGGGACCATTTTTCATTATTACAGTGTTTCCAATGTTACGACTTTCGGCACTTATCCAAGAATTGCAAGGTTAAAGAGCAAATCTGCGGAAAATGTGGCGGTAAACACAGTTTTAAGTTTTAAGGACTCTCCCCCAAAAGTCCAGGGCAGTGGCAGCAGCTCCGCCCCCCTCCCCAAAAACGCATTGCGTCCCCTAACACCCCTACAACTTCCTCTCTTGATCAGAGAATCCAGGCCATCGTCCAAACGATGGTAGCAAGTCTGGTCGCCGTCCTTCAAACACCCACCAATGTGTAACACAGCCCAGCCACATAACCTCCGAATAGTTACCTGGAATGCGCAAAGCATTAGAGGTAAATTGACCGAACTCGAGCACTTCCTCGAGGATAAGTCAATCGGTGTTGCTTGCATCACCGAAACTCACCTATCCGAAAAAATCAAACTTTTCTTCCCAAATTTCTCATCCTACAGAAGGGACCGTGATCACGGCAGTGCCGGCGGTGTCGCTACTCTTGTTAGGAATTCTTTAAAGCATAGGCCTATCTCTTTGGCCACAAACTCGTTAGAGACAGTCGGCATCGAAATTTCGTTAACCACCGGCCCTCTTAGGATTATCTCTTTCTACTCCCCTCCTTCAGACAGGGACCTTTCTGAGCTCCTTCTTCTACTCCCCCCAGGCGTTCCAACCATCGTCGCAGGCGATTTCAACGCCAAACACGTTTCTTGGGGTTGTCGACAAACCAACAACAAAGGCACCTTCCTTCTTACCAAAATTCTTGACTTCAACTTCACAGTTGAAGCACCCTCTGACCCCACATTTCTCCCTGCCCCCCACCATCTACTCCCTGACAATCTCGACATTTTTGTCACAAAAAATGTTACACTTTTCGCCGATCCTATCGTCTTAGACGCATTAAGCTCGGACCACCTCCCAGCCCTTATTGAAGTCGGCCGCCCAATCCTCAACCCCCAAAACCCTACCACGTCACTAGATTGGCTTCACCTTCGTTACACCCTTGAAACATCGTCATTCAAGTGCACTCCAATTCCCACAATAGCGGAACTTGACGAAGCTGTGAATCTCCTTTCAAACGAGATTACCAGCGCAATCAAGATCTCCACTTCGCTCCGCCCCACGCCCACCAAAGACAGAACCCTCCCAGCAGATATACTTCTCTTCTTAAAAAGAAAAACAAAACCCGCCACCAGTGGCAAAAACATCACAATCCCGCACATCGTGCCTAACTAAACGCCAGTCAGCGAGAACTCAAAACTCGCCTAACGGAATTCGGCAGCGCCTCGTTTGACGAATACACCGCTCAAGCAGAACTGCACCCCACAAGTGCTTGGAAAGTGATCCGCTCTCTCCGAAACAGAGCTCCCCATCGCCCACCATTAAAACAAAATGGTTCCCTATACACTTCAGATGAGGAAAAAGCTGCAATCTTCGCAGACTCTCTCTGACTCCAGTGCTCTCCACTACCCAGCCCTGTGGACTTAGCCAACTTTCACGAGAAAATTAAAGCCAGCTCTCAAAACTTCGTCCCTACTGTTTGCGAGTTCAAGCACACGTCCCCACGTGAAATCTTCCTCACCATCCGATCTCTGAACAAGAGAAAAGGCCCTGGCGCTGACGGAATTCCCAACGGAGTCCTCAAAGTCCTGCCACCAAAGCACATAACCGCACTGTGCAACATCACGAACGCCATCATGCGGCTCCACCATTTCCCTTTGGTCTGGAAAGAGGCCACTGTCATCTGTCTCCCCAAGAAAGGGAAGCCGCTCAGCTCTCCCTCAAGCTATAGACCCATCAGCCTGCTCAGTTCGCTGAGCAAAGTAGTCGAATCCATTCTTCTCGACCGGCTCTTAGACCACGTGGAGCAAAACAACCTTCTCCCCGACTGTACGATCATATAATAATATAATAGCTTATTTTAGGAATTTTGAACAAATAATTATATTTGAAATACCATTGTTGTTGTCACGTACATATATTTATGTTTATGAGTGGAATAACCCCTCATTTAATAGAAGAGTGTCTTGATACAATAAACCGTCCCTTCGCAGAAGACTGCAATTAGGTAGGTACCCTAGCAATAGTCACAGGTCATCCTGTGTTCATATCAAGAAATTACGCTTATCTACAATTTTGAATGTAAGGGAGGTACCACCCTTCCACTTGTTTTCTGTACCGCCCACAACTCAAAATTTAGTGAGAACAATTTTTAAATAGAATCAAGACAGTAACCAAGTAGCCATTGAACCATTTAGATGATCACCATTTCCATTGCAATTGTTGTACTTATACTAATTTGTTAATAAATTAAGTTCAAATGTTGGATTAATTTTTGTGAACAACCCAACATTAAACATTGGTCCTTCGAGCCGGATTGTAAAATGACAAGAACTTCTAGCAGTTACAGGGCGAATTTCATTCGTTTCTTTTGTGGTTTATTTTAGACTAACAATAAGTTGTGAGTTATTTGAACTTGAGTGACTTTTTCGCGTTGCAACTAAATTGGTGATTTAGTTACTGAACTGTGTTGTGCACCGAATTAATTGAACTCTGATAATTCTGAACAAAGGGTTGGGATTGCAGCCTTAGAGATCGCCAAGGAACTTCAGCGACTAGAAGAACCGAAAGCGGACAGGAAACAACTCTTCACGCACGCCTTATAGAAGGGATCGTAAGTTTTTGAACAAGTTCTTGGTTTGCATTACGTACGTTAATTATGGCTGAGATTAAAAAATTAGCCACGGAACGTGGACAAATTAAGGCATCGTTGACTCGTTTTAAAACTTTCTTTGAATCGTTCAATAAAGAACGAGGACTTAGCACACTTCAAACACGTCTAGCTGTCGTTGAACCTTTGTACGATAAATTTGATAAGGTTCAATCAACGATTGAAGAGCTAATTGAAGATGAAGAGCAAATGTTACTTCAAGAGTCAGAACGGATAAATTTTGAAAATTTGTATTTTGATTTGGTAACTGCTGCAAGAGATATCATCGAAGAAGAAAGGGAGAAAAAACGTCGCGATCAAGGAGCTAGAGACTCGTTGTCAAGCGCACCCACATCGGCAACTTCGGAGACCAGGAACCCAATTAAACTACCGACCATTTCACTTCCGACATTTGATGGTTCATACGACAAATGGCTCAAATTTCGAGATACATTTGAGTCCCTTATCCATAATTGTGAATCGCTGTCAAATATCGAAAGGTTTCACTATCTAAATTCTGCACTAGTTGGTGATGCTGTACAGGTTATTCAATCATTAGGTGTTTCTGAATCTAATTATCCAATAGCATGGCAACGTTTGAAGGAGAGATTTCAAGATTCTAACGCACTTCTACACTATCATACAAAGGGACTTTTTGAATTACCATTTGTAACAAGAGAATCGCATGTTTCGTTACGACAGTTATTAGATAACATGGTTAATCATTTACAAGCATTACAGGTATTAGGGGAACAGACTGATTCATGGAGTACATTAATCATATATTTGGTAACCACAAAGTTGGATTCTTTAACGAAACGAGAATGGGAGAGACATCGCATTACATTGAATAGGAAGGCCACGATAAACGATCTAACAAATTTACTAGAAAACCAATGCAAGTACCTGGAATTAACATCGAGGGAAAAACAAACTGTAGTCACAAAGTCACAAAACAGAGTTGAAAAAAGAACAGGGTTTCATCGACAATCAGAACAAGTGTCTTCATATGTGACTTACAATGTTAACTGTCCACTTTGCAAGAAATCACATAATTTGTATAGTTGTAAAGATTTTCAGAAACTGTCACCAGCGTCTAGGATCCAAGAAGCACAAAAGTTGAACCTGTGTTACAACTGCTTAGGTACAGGTCACAGGAACAAATCTTGTACTTACGGTCACTGCAGGAAATGTTCACGGAAACATCACACTCTTCTTCATTTGGAGTCAAATAATAGCCGCACAAAAAATGAACGTCCACCTATAGAAGAAGTAGAACCTACCCAAGTACAGTCGTCAGTTATACCATCTGTAACAATGGTTTCACAATCTGCAACCGCCAACAATTCTCACGTACTGTTATCAACAGCAATTGTGTACATTCAGGATTTTAAGGGAAAATGACATGAATGCAGAGTATTGCTAGATTCTGGTTCACAGTCTAACTTTATTAGACAGGATCTCTGGCGACAATTGAAATTACCATCTACAAAGGTCACCACAGTCGTTTCTGGAATTGAACATGTAAGTCGAAATGCTGATTATAAAACTGATGTAAAAATACATTCTAGAGCAAATGGATTCACAGCAACATTATCATGCCTTATAATACCGAAAATAACTAGCTATATTTACTTCAGAGATTGTGGCAGTTAAACATGCATTGGGATGAATCACTTCCTCAGGAGTTACATCACAATTGGATTCAATTCTATAGTCAGTTATCTACCCTTAATAAACTATCCATGCCAAGACACGCATTATGCAAGGATCCGATGAAGATTCAGATTCACGGATTCTGTGACGCCTCAGAAAAGGCCT